TTTTTTTTTTTTTTATATTGGAAATTTACTTTGTTTTTTATTAAGTGATGATAAAAATAACTACGAGACTTAAAAAAAATGAAAAATAATAAACTTACTTGCACGAATAAATAAATACACCCACACACTCATTAGAAAATAAATAAAATCTTTAAGTCACTTATAATTCCACACACATATTCACATACAAAAAAAATCTTATCACTTGTTTTAACCCATTTTTTTTATTTATTTTTTTTATTTAATTAAATTTTACTTTAATTTTTAAAAAACAATTTTTTTTAATTTTTTTTTTAATTTTTTTTTTTATTTTTTCTTAATTATTTTTAAATTTCTTTTTTAAATAATTAAAATTTTAAAAAAACTCACACACAATAATTTTATTTAATACAATTTATAAATATAAATATAAATATATATAAATATATATATTTTTATACACACAAAAAACACAATTGTCTTAAATTTTATTTTTATTAGTATTAATTATTATTTTGTTTTTTTTTTATTCACTACCATTATTCATTTTTAACAAAGAACAAAAACCATAATAAATTTTATTTTTTTTTAAATTTTTATATTTTTAAATTAAATATTTTTTTAATTTTTTTTTTTATTTATATTTTATTTTTTTTTATTTTTTATTTTTTATTTTTTAAATATTTGGGTATACCATAGAATTTTGCTACTTTGTAATATAATATATTTTACACAATAAATAAATTTATTATATTTTTTTTTTATTTATAAACCCATTGTATAAAATATGACACTTTTAAATAAATCATTCAAACAAGAATATTCTTTAGGTAGATATTTATTTATTTATATACAAATTTGTTAACAAGATTTCTAATGGTTTACCAAAATACTAATACTAATATTTTTTTATAGAAAAAAGAAAAACTATTTCAGAAAAAATTAAAAATAGATATAAGGATAGATTACCAGTAAGTTATTTTAATAAAAGAGAAAAAAGCAGTTTGGGTTTGGTATTTAGCAACAACCAGACAGATATTTTTTACAATGGATACCACCACTCTAAACTGCTATAGAAACATACTATAAATAATATTATTGCTTGTTGTACTAATAGTTATTTTATAATTTAGATTATTGTTGAAAGAGCACCAAATAGTAATGTCCCAGATATAACAAAAAAGAAATTTTTAGCCCCATCCAATATGGTTGTCAGTAATTTTATTATGGAAATTAGAAAGCATCTAGATGGCTCCAAACAAAACTCTGACCAAACTGCAATCTTTTTATTTGTAAATAAGAATAATCTCCCACCATCATCACAATTATTATCAAATATCTACGAAAAGGATAAAGATGAAGATGGTTTCCTTTATATTGTATATAGTGGTGAAAATACCTTTGGCTCTGACAATTAGCTAAACTTTTTTTTATAAAAAAGAAATAATCTTTTTATTTTTTTTAAATAATAACAATAATAATAATAATAATAATATCATAAATTATATTTATATTCAACTATAAATTTAATTCCTTTTTTTTTTTACAAACCAAACACACTTACTCAAACTAATTACACATACAAAATTTTAACTAATAATTATGTTACATTAACAATAATAACTTTTAACTCCACCCACACAAACACAAAACAGATTCTTTTTTTTTAAATATAAATAAATAAACTTTAAAAAAATAAAAATAAAAAAAGAAAAAGAAAATAGAAAAAGAGCAAATTGCAAAAAGAGTGATCCTCCCAAAAATATAAAATTTCAAAAAAAAAAAAAAAAAAAAAAGTACATTTATTTATTGCTTTCAAATTACCCTTTTCAACTCTTTCCCTGTTTCTATATTTTTTTTTTATTTAACTCAAAATAAAATTATTTTATTAGTTTAAAAAAACTATTAACACACAATTTTTTTAAAATTTTTTATTTATTTTAATAAATTTTAAACTTGATATCTGTACAAGTCCAATTCACTTTTTTCTAATCTTGACCAAGATTCTTGTGGATCTTTAATAAGTTTGAATTCGACTTTGGTTGATAAAATCATAAAGTTACTTTTGGCTGTATCGATAGTACCTGCTAATTCGTATACTTTTTTGAAACTCTTTTCGTTTGGGAGTTTTAATTCGACAGAGATCTAAAATTGAAACAAACAATTGTTATAATTTGAAATTAGTATATTTCTATTTATATTGTTCTACATAAAATAGTTATAATTATTTGACACATACAGTTTGGTTATCTACAAATTGAATTTTTGAATTTACTTTATCAACATTTTTAGCGTAAATTGTCATAATGATGGCATCAAATTGTTGATACCAGTCGTGACGACATTCGACCTTTGATTCGTCTTTTGGTGGTGGGATAAATTTATGTTTGCCGGTTTTGCAGCCTTTGATTTTTAAAAACTCTTCGAAAATTGCAGCTTTTGGTTTGCAACAAGACCATCCCTTTGAGCCTTCGTGGAATACAGGTTCGCCTGGATGGTAATGACATTCCTCGGTACGTGATGATTCGTCTTTATAAAATGCTTTGCAACTATTTCTGCAACATTGTGCGCCCTCTGGAATAACGGCATCTTCTGGATCGTTCTCTTCGACATATTCTGGTAATTTTATAAATTGTTTTGGTGCTGCAGTTGTATTTGCGTTGGTTGAATTTGGATCGACTTTGATTGGTTTTGGCATAAATTTATCTGATGGATGTGCGTGGGTTTCTTTCTTTTGTTCGACTACACCTCCGGTGACATCACTGGTTGTGGTAGATTGAACAATTGGTTTTGATGCTGCTTTTGGTTCTGCTACTTTATGTGTTCCTGTTGTGCAACCTGTAATACCTAAAAACTCATCAAAATCTGTTACTCTCTTTTTACAACATGACCATCCTTTTAAACCTTCATGAAATACTGCTTGTCCAGGATGATAGCAGCATTGATCGATGGTTTCTGCTGTAAATTCTTTACCACATCCATTATTACCACATTTCATTGTTGTTGTCATTCTATTTTTATATTGATTTAATGTTGTAAAAAAGTTATTGTTTATATTTGGATAATATTAATAATATGTAGAAGATATTGTTTAGTTTAAAAATAAATAACGGGTGTTATGTAACTAAAAGGGCGTGTGTTCAAATTATAAAAAAATTTTAAAATTTTTTATTTTTTTTTTCTTTTTTTTTTTTTTTTTTTTAAAAATTTTATTAATTTTTCATTTTTTTTTAATTTAAGGAAATAAAATTATTATAATAATGATGAACTTGTAAAGGTAATAATAAATTTATAAAAATATAAATTTATTTATAAATTTTAGATTATTTTAGTAAAAGATTCATTTATTAATCTATATATAAATTTTAGATACTATTTTATAACCATTATTTATATCTATTATTTTTATACTTTTTCTTTATGTTTATGATAATGATAACCCCAATTAATAGTTATATTTATATTGGATGTTATAGCCCATTATTTAGATTTTTTTAATTTAATTTTTTTATTTATTTTTAAATTTTTTCAATATCACTTTTTTTTTTTTTTTTTTTTTGATCACCAAAGGTTTGGTTATAATAAAAAAAATTTAATAAATCCAATAATATAACCATATTAAAATACCATTTTTAAAATTGTAAAATTATTTCCAAATTAACTGATTTTTTTCAGTTATTTTAATTTTTTAATTTTTTGTTTTAATTTTTAATTTGTTTTTTTTTTTTTTTGATGGTAATAGCTCCATTAATTTAATATTGTATAATAGTGTAATAGTAGAAGTAATAATAATAATAATAACAATAACAATAATACCACCATTAGTTAACTAATTAATTGTAAATACTTTATTTATTTCTATTTTTTTTTTTCATTCTCTATTTGTAATATTTTTAATTTTATTTTTTATCTATTTCATTCATATTAATATATGTATCAAAGCTAACATAAATATTTAAAGATTCAAAAATCATTTAGGTTTAACAAAAAGAAACAAAGAGAATATATTTAGTAAAAAGCAAATAGTAAATTGGATCAAATTATATCTGATATTAGATATTGGGTAAATTTAATATAATCATAAATTTTATATTTTTTTTATATTTTCTTTTCTTTTGTTTTATTAAATTATATTTATTTTTATATTATAATACCATTACCACTCACTACACTATCGAATACTCACTTTAGTTTCTATAATAATATTACACTACTCACTTTAAAAATTCACACATAAACCCAAATCTATCCAAAATAGCATCACACCCACTAAAACACTAAATCACTTTTGGTCAATTTTATTTTTTTATGTGTGTATAATTTTAATTTTACCCCTAATCACCCTAAATAGCAAAATTAAAAAATGTTTATTCCTTTACCATCAAGAAAGAAAATAAAGAAAAATGTTTTAAAATTGTTTTTTTTTTTTTTTCAATTATTTTTTTTATTTATTTTTTTTTATTTTAAAAAATACATTATTACAATTCACTTAATACATTATATCTATCATTAAATAAAAGTAAATTATTTTTTTAAATTTAATTAAATTTAATTATTACTTTATTTGTAATTATAAAAAAGAATTTTATTTTATAAATTTTTTTTAACCAAATAATTTTTTTTATTTTTTTTTATACAAATAGTAAAAAAATAATAATATTATTATTATTATTATTATTGTTTTATAAATCATAAATTTAATTAAAATACACATTTTATAAAAAATTAAAAATACTAATATTAGTAAATTATATTTTATATCCTTTTTGCATAACAGTATAAATAACAATAGTATAGTAATATATAGAAAGTTTGTTGTACAATTATAATAAAAATAAAAAAGACACACAATCAATTAATAATAGTATTAATAATAGCACACAATTATAAATTTAATAGCATACAAATAATCATTAAAACTCGGTATTAAGAAACAGAAAAATAGAAAATACTCTATAATCTTTAATCAAGATATAAAGAAATGAGTGCAATAAATTTAAGATTATTACAAGATAGCGAAATTGAAAATTATGGATCACCAAAGAACATTAGTGATTTAATGGAAGAGGTTAGAAGTTTATTTGACAATATAAAAACCGTACCAACATCATCAAATAAAATCTCGATTGGAGTCAATTCATCACCAGTTTTAGAAACAAATTCAATAAATAATAACTTTAATAGTAATAATAAATGTTCAAATCCATCTACAATTTTAAAACCATCTGAAAGAATATTTAAACTTAATAATAATAGTAATGGTAATAATAATAATACAAGTAGTAGTATTACAAATAATGTAATAAATAATTTAAATGTATTAAATAGTTATAATAATAATAATAACCATAATAATAATAAACAAAATAAAATTGAATCATCATTTATTGATGTTAAAAAAATTGGGTTAAAAGAGTTAGCACTATTATTAACAAAGAGAAGAGAAGGTTCAGTTCACATTCAAGCCATTCAACAAATTTATGAGCTTTATTTACAAGCAAGCTCAATAAACTCAAAAAAACAAGAATTTTTAGATGAGATTAGTAAGGGTACCTGTTTAAGATCATTGCTTTCATATCTAACTCTTTCAGAACCAAAGTTCAATTCATTCGAATATAATAGCCAAATGGAGTCAATCAAATTAATTTCAATTTTAACTGGTAATGATTCAATTAAAACTTTTATAAAGCAAACTGGTGATATTTCAACTATAGTTCAAGTTTTAAATTGGTCTCATAAATTAAATCAATATCACACATTTAATTTAAATTTATTAAATTTAATTTCAAATTTAGCAACCCAAGGTAAATTTATTAATATTATATAATATTTGAACTAAATAGCTTATTAATACTTTTTATTTAATTTTATAGAATCATGTGCATCTATTTTAAGAAAAGCAGGTGCTATTGGGGCAATTTTATCAATTGCTGTAAATGAATCGGTTTCAAATGACCTAAGAATAGTTTCATTAAATACTCTAATTATTTTTTCAAGTTACTCAAACCCAAAAATTAGTGAAGCAATTATTTCAAAATCATCTTTAGAAGCTATTATTAACAATATTGTTAAGACATGTCTTACAACCACAACTTTATCCACAAATTCATCCAATCAAATTAACCAATTGTCTATAAAGTTTTTAGATTTACTTTTCCAAGTTTCAGATTGTGCAAAAACTAGAGCTATTGCTTGTGAGTGTGGTCTTGAAAAACTATTAAGTTTAATTAATATAGATTTAATTTATCCAAAAGAATTGCACAGAGTAAATTTCTTTAGAGTTTCAAATGTAACCAAAGATGACCCAACAATCCCACAAACAAATCTTCAAGCTAAAATTTTACAATGCTTAGAAAAATTAGCAAAACATGAAAACAATAGATTAAAAATTGGTTTGCAATCTACTGAACTAGCTCTCAAGTTTATTTCACCATTATTTAATTTACCAAAAGAAATCTTTAAATGGAATACAACAATTTTAGAAAGAATATTAAAATTAACAATTCAAATTCTTCAAGATGGTATGTTTTAAAACTATATTATAAAATTATAAATATAGTGAAAAGATTATTAACAATACCTTTCATTATTATTTTATTTAACAGATAAATGCAAACAATTGTTTGTTGAAAATGATGGATGTAAAACAATGTTATGGATGGTACAAAATGATAGTTTCAATTCTTCCATTTTATTATCATGTGCTCAAGTTTTGGGTCAAATTGTTGCCGCTAAAAAATCAATATCATCTTCAATTAATTTCCCAGTTGATAAAATTATTGATAGTGAGGTAATTCCATCTCTTATTACATTGTATAAAAATCATCCAGAAGAGAAATCTTTACAACTTTTATTATGTCAAGTTTTTAAATATTTAGGTTCCACTGATGAAAATAAACAAACCATTTTCTATGAAGGAGGTTTTCAAATTTTACACAATTTATTAAATGGAGAGGATTTAGAAGTAGTATCATCATCATTGGACGCTCTTGCTGTACTTTCGACAAATAGTAATTCTCATTTATATAACTATATTAATATTAAAATAATACCACCAAATAATAATATCAATCATCTACTCAAACAACCAAAAAAAGTAACATTCAAGTAATAATTTATTAACATTCATTTTTTTTTTTTCTATTTCTTTTCTTTTCATTCACTTCAAATCTATCAAATCTTCAAAAAAACAACTTATTTATTCATATTGTATTATTATTCCATAAACTATCTATTTATTCTATTTAAAAAATTTCAATGTTTTCTTTTTTTTTTTTTTTTTTTTCTCTTCATTTCCATTTCAATACTATTTCTATTCTATCCACCATCCACTATTCAACATATACTATCCACTATCCACCATCCACCTACCATCCATCTTCAATCTATAATCTACAATCTACAATCTATCTACAATCTATTATCTTTTATCTTTATCTTTACTCTTTTATAGTATTTATTAGAAAAGTCTTAAGATTATTGGGATCAATTTCAACTATTATTTCAAAGATTTCATTACAAAATTCAAAAATTCAAAAAAGCTCAATCATTATTTTATATAATATTTCTGGCGATGGTAAATATAGTTTTATAAAAAAGTTTTTAAAAAAATAATTTTAATTAATATTTTTATTTTTTTATTACAGATGAAGGTATAGAGTTATTATTAGATCCAGCCAATGGTTTATCAATGGCTAATCTTAATTCATTATTATTTTGTAATGATTCAGAAATTCAAATTTCAGTTGTATTGTTAATAGATAATTTAATATCATTTGATAGTAAGTATTACTTTTTTAACTGCTAGAATCTATTATAGCATTTACTAAAAATATTTTATTATAGAAAATTATTTAGAGAAATTTGTAGATAACGGTGGTATTGCATCATTATTGAACTCTTTATACTCAAATAATGAGAAGCTTCAATTCAATGTATTGAATCTCTTAAATATAATTATTCAAAATCCAAAAGCTCAACCAATCATTTTAAATTCAGGAATTGTTAATAAATTAAAAAGTTTATCAACTCATGGTAAGTTGTCATTGCTTTTAAGTTTATTATCTAATATTCTAATTTTTTATCTTATTATTTAATTATAGAAAATGTAATTAAAGAAGGGTCGACACTAATTGAACCAATGAGATCATTTATTATTGCAGTTAAATCAATTCCACAACCACAACCAACTTCACCAATAATTACTCCAGCTTCAACAATAACAGCCTCACCATCAACAGTTAAATCACCTCAGTTTTTAAAGAAGGAATCACAAGAAACTATAGATTCTAAAAATAAAATAACAGGTATTCAAATAGGAAACAGATCAATATCATCAAATCAACTACCAACACGTGCCCAGAACATTCAAAAACAAACACATTTAGATGAAAAGCCATTAAGCGTTTCTACAGGTTCAGTACCACCACCATTTTCAGCATTACCATTTCACTCACCACCCTCCACACCCTCCACACCGGTCCAATTACCAGATTTTAAAAAGATTTCAGCAGTTTTAGAAAAGTTAAATGAAGAGCAATTAAGAGATGTCGTAATAGAGCTAATCAAACAAACTCCATCCATTGGTGAGAATATATCAACTACAATTAGAAATGTTATTACTGGTAATAAACTCCCATATCCAACCGCAAATCCAATTATTACATCACCATTATCATCAAGCTCTGGTATTCCACCACCTCCACCACCTCCACCACTTTTCCCATCATTAAACAGCAACAGTAATAATGATTCACCCTTTGCAAATATTCAACTAAAACCAGTACAAAAAGTTGATAAAAAAGAAAGTTCACCAAATAGTAATGGTATGATTTCAGCAAGCGATATTTTATCATCTCCTGTATTTTTAAAACGTCAAAACGACCCAACACCTATATCAGAAAGCAACACTATAAAAACCAGTAACAGCAATAATTCACCATTTTCAAATTTAATGAATGAATTACAAGGTAAAGTTGGAAAAATGAAATTAAAACATATAGATACAGCCCAAGAAATGGAGAATCGTAGAAAAGATAGATTGATGGAAAAGAATCAAGGTTTGTTAAAAGATATCGTCAACAATGCAGATCTAAGAAATAAAACAAACAAAAAAACCCTTATCGATTCAAGTGTTAGTCATGGTATGAAAATTTGGAAAAAGAGCTTTGACCTCTATAAGCAGGAGATTAATGCATCATTTAAACGTTATGATGTTTTAGCAATTCTAGTATTTAAAATTTTAGATTCTCTTGGTGATTTCCCATTCAAAGATGCTCTCGAAATTTCTGGCTTATCCAGTGAAGTGCTATCTCAACAACTATTAAGAATTGGTTTTAATTTGAAATCCTCAACTTATGTAACATCTTCAGACCCAGAGAACCCTGTCACAGAATACAGCTCCATCATTAAACCAACTGGAATTCCTGTGAAATTAATTTTATCTTTAATTATTGGCCAAATTAATAAATAATGAAAATAATTAATTATCATCTGTAATTCTATTATTACCCCATTTTTTAGATATATTTCTAATAATGGGGTTTTTATTTAATTTTATTCATTGAAATGGTTTAAAAATAAATATTTATTTAATTTTATTTTATTTTTTTTTTTTTTTTAATTTTTTTTTTTTTTTTTTTTTAAATTTTTAATTCATTTTTTTTTAATAAATAATTATTCATGAATGCGCGAAAATGAATAATAGTTTTGACGAAGATCAAACAACCATTCCTAAAAATAATAAAACTAAAAAAAAGATAACTTCAGGTTGGATAGAAAAGTCAATAATAAACTCAACATTACCAATTAAACCATGTGGGCAAATTATATCTTGTGCAGAAGCTCAAACAATGCACATCCAACATAACAATAACAATAACAATAACAATAACAATAACAATAACAATAATAATAACCACAATAATACAAATATCAATAAAAGTTTTTATTTATCAGATACAATATGCTATATACAGATATATCTTAGTGATACCTCTATAAATAATGCATTAAAGTAAAAATCATTTATTATGACATTACATTTCACTAAATTAAATTATTATTTAATTAATACTTTTTTTTTAAACAGAGATAGATCATTTAATAATATATCAGCTTTATTTGGATGTATTGTCGAATTAGAGGATTATCGCTTTTCAATGGAGGATGAAAATAAAATTAAATTAATTATAACGAAATTTAATATCTCTCATAGATCTAAAATACCAAAACAATTACCTTTTTCAATATATAAACACCCAAGAATCATACCATTATTAAAAACGTATGCATACCTTTTAAATAAATATACTAAACCTCAGTTTAGGTATTAATACTAACTTTGTTTTATAGCAAAAGTGATATAATTAAAAAGAATAATGAAGCCATAAATGAATTAGATAAATTGGTATCATTTTCAGAAGCAATTATTTCTAGTGAACAACTTAAAGTTTTAAACTCTCTTGAGCTGTGGAATTTACCAACATTAACTCAAAATGTTACAGATAGTCATCATCAACAACAGTATTTAAATTTTTCATCATCCATAAACGATTTAGATTTATTAGGATCAACTAGTGACGAAGAGGAAACAAAACAGCAAGAAAAGACTCCATTAAAAACACAACATAAAACACCATTTTCAACCTCATCATCATCCTCATCATCATCATCATCAAAAATAATAAATACGCAGTTTCCAAAATCATCTCAAAAAACGCAGCATTTCCCATCATTTCAAATACCGCATCACACACAAATAAATGTAAATAATAACAGTAACAGTGATATTGAAATCGAAGATGATAGTGGTAGTGTAGAAGAGTTTGTTAGTACTCAGAAACACTTTATACCAAATAATAGTAAAAATAAAAATAATAGTAATAATAATGACTGTGGTAATAATAATAACAATAATAATAATATTAATACTAGTATAAATAAAAAAAAAGTAGAGTTTGAGGATTTGGATGAAATATTTGGTTCACAAAAAATAATGAGTACAAATATAAATAATGATAATAGTAACAGCAGCAGTAGCAGTGAAAGTAGTGCCAATATTAACAATACAAATAAAGCTAATTCAACATTAACAAAAAGAAAGAAATATGATGATGATGAATTAGATGAAAATGATTTTTTAGATTCAACACCAATCAAACCATCTCAAAATAATTCATTGACAAAATCTTCAAATAACTCGAGCTTGTTAGACTTCAGTTTCGATTTTATGGATACCATCAACAATGCAAATTTTAATAACAATAATATAGACAACAGCACAAATAATGGCAATATAAATAATATTAAAAATAGTATAATATCTAATAACAAATCTATTGGATCAATAAATAATATAAAACCACCAACCAAACCATCTTATAAAGGAATAGCTCAGAAAATTCAAAATATGATGGGTTCTAATAATAGTGTAATTAAAAGTCATAATGTAGAAAATAAAACCAATAACAATAACATTAATAAAAATAATATAAATAATAATACCAACATTAATATTAATAATAATAATAACAATAACTATTTTAATGATATAATAACATTTGGATATAATATACAATCACCTAATGTTAATATTATAAAGCAAATACCCATACTATTGGCCAATCTGTCATGTTCACAAACTATAGATGAAGATGGTTTCGAAATTACAATACGAAGGAAGGCTAAAAAAGATAATAGCAAACAATAAAATAAAAGTTTTATGGATATGATGAAATAATAAAAAAAAGAAAATAAAAAATAATTATAAAAAAAAAAATTTATTTGTAAATTAATTTGGTTGATTTAAAACATCCTTTATATTTTGAAATTCTTTTCTTAATGGAGCATAATCAAAAAGAATAGCAACCAAATTAAAATGATAAATATAATATCTTCATACTCATCATAAACAACCCTGTATTTCCCAGATAAGTAATGCTTGTTTTACTCTACCATAAAGGTTTTCAACAATGACACGATATGAAGATAAAAATTTACATAATTGTTGATCCATTGGAGAAAGATTTTCACCATTTTGACCAGCACCTCTGATATTAGCACATAAAAAAACTTTTTGATCTCCTTGATATCCCAAATCACCCAAAATAAGTTCATTTTCGATCAATGGGTAATCTTCTTTAAAAACCATCTTTTTTGCAATTTCAAAATCGTGCATGGAACCTGGAAAAGTACCTAAATTTTAATTATTTTTATAAAATAATTTAGTATCTAAATTTGATTGAAAATATAAAAAAATAAAAACTAACCTCTTGATAGGTGATTTGGCTTTCCATCAGTAATATTGACAATGGTTTGAATTTTTACACCATGAAATTTATGTTTACCTGAGTAATAGGGTGTTTCGTTTCTATGTCCAACTGGTTTTGATATTTTGAAAATTGTAGTATCAATAACACTATATATTAAAATTTTTTTTTTGATTGTTTCACCTGTTGGTGATTGATTTTCGGTAATAATTTCTAAAGGTTTTTGGGTTAATCTGGATCATAAAACTATTTTAAAGTATCGTTCACATATAATAGATATATTTTTAGAATACTTTAATGAAAATCCAATTGTTTGTATTAAATATATTAACAATATTTTTTTATTTTTTAAAAACTAATAAAATTTTTATTTTTTTATTTTTAAGGAACCTTCATCTTTTCCCCAAGTTGTTGAAAATTGTTGATTTGTTTTATAGTTTTTAATATAATTTAAAAACATTAACAATTTAAAAAAATAAAATTTTTTGATATTGATAAAAAATAATCTGCTTGAGATGGATTATCATTAATATAAGTATCGTTTTCATCTTTTTCAAATTTTTTTAAAACAAAAATATTTAATGAGTTATAAATTTTTAAAAATGCATATTTATCTTACCAATGAGCTACTTATAAAATTAGTGAATAAAAATTATCCTTATTCTCAGTTTTTACCCATTATCGTTAGCTTATTCATTTAAAAAAAAATTTTAAAAGTTATCTCTTTTTTTAAAAAAAATTATCTCTTTTTTTAAAAAAATTATTCATTTTTATCGATTTTTAAAATTTGCAAATAGATGTAAAATAACAGCACAAACACACCCATCACAATTTTTCTCTTTTCCGCCTTTCTTTTAATTTTTTTTTAAAATTTTTTTTAATTTTTTTTAAACATTTTATTTTTTTTTTTTTTTAATTATAATCCGCGCTTTTTTTTAAAAATTTTTTTCTTTTTTAAATTTTGAATTTTATTAATTATAATATTTTTATTTTTCTTTCAAAAACCATCACAAAACCATATTGATACTAACACTAATATTGTGGTGCTATTTTTAACTTGTGTTGATGCCAATATTCACACCTCTTTAATAATAAAATGACAATATTATATTTCAAAAAAAAAAAAAAACTCATATTTTTATTTAAAAAAAACATTATAATGCCAATCATTGTTTTTATTTTTTCGTACATCACCATTAATCTAAAAATATAATATAAAATTATAATCATTTTAAATACTAAAAGCGAATATAATTTTATTTTCATTTTTATTAATAAAAACCTCAACCAATACAAAACCAAAACAAAAGGTCGAATTATTGTTTTTTTTTTTGTTTTTTTTTTTCAAAAAAACAATAATCAACATTAAATTATAATATACGTATTCATAATTATATTTATTTTTAATATGTATGTATTTATTTTAGTTAAACTAAAACCTCAACAAATCCAAATCAAAAAAAAAAGGTAGAATTTTTTTTTTACAATTATTTTTTTTAAAAACATATTATTCTACACATTTTCTAAATTATCTCTATAAATAGACCCAAAAAATAACTAGATTGCATCAACACTAGGTTTTACAATGCTTTTTAATCTTTCGTTTTTCTTTCTTTTTTTTTTTAAAAGCAAAGTTTTTTTTTTTTTTTTTTCATTCTAGTTAATTAATATAAAATAGTTTCTTAAACCTTCTAATGTTACCCATAAAAGACATCGTCTAAAAGACTCTACCATTGAATCGTGTAATCTTCTCAAAGAATGGAATCGTCAAATTCAAGATGTTGTGTATGATATTCTCAATAAAAAAAAGGATGGAAGAGTTCACAACAAGCGTGATAATAATAATAATCATTTTTTCTTATAATAATAAAAACCTTTGTATATTTTCAATTTTATTTTAACAATTTTTTTTTTTTTTTTACAAAAATATTTTATAATTTTATAAATTATTATCCTTTTTTTATCTTTTTTTTTTTTTTTTTTATCCACTTTTATCCTTTTTTTTTAAATCTTCCAAGTGATACAAAAAAGGATAACGATAAAGATAATTTTCAATCACTATATAAAATTGTCCATATAAAAATATCTCACCTACTAAAAAATTCATTCATACTATAAAGTTCATTCATGTATGCTTTATTGAGCTATTTGCAAAATTGTCCATATAATAATATCTCACTCATACTAAAAATTTCCAACATGCAAAAATAAATTGAAAGTTTGCAAAACTCATCCACAGAAATTTCTTTCAATAAAAGAAATTCAATTGATGAAATCAATTTTTTAGATGATGCTGGTTCATCAATTTATAATGTTCCAAGCTTCGATACATCAAGTAGAACTTCATCGTCAAAAAAACAAAAAATTCAAAATGGAAATTCAACACCAAATAATTCACTTGGTGTTTTTAATGATGGTATGTTTACTATGTAATTTATAATTCACTTGGACTTTATAATTTGATATTAATTATTTTTTTAATTAACTAGAAAACATAATTAAAATTAGAACCTTTTTTTTCACCGATTTAATTTCAATTGGTGAACCATTATACCTTTTAAAGGATAATTATCTGGTATTGATTTTTCCAGTTCCAGTTTTAAAAATTGTTATGGGTGAATACAAAATTGTAAAAAAAAAAGAAGATAATCCACAACTTCTTAAAGAAGGATTTTATTTAATGGTATCATATCATTTCCAACTCCCAACTCGTCATGATATGAAAAGTGATATGCGATATTCTGATATTGGCACCTACGAGTTGGAACTCGATACTTGGATTTGCCCCAGTGAGAGAAATCTCAAAACAAAAAAGGATTATTTTTTTATTGATGGTCCATATGATGAAATTCATTTTACATCGGAAAAAAATATTATCAAATTTGCTTTAAAAAGAAAAGCCAAAATCTCATACTCTGATGACGAAGAGTAATAATAATAATTAATCATCAAATCAATTTTTTTTTTCTTCAACTTTAAGGTTTGAAAAAAAAATTTTCTTCAATTTTAAGGGTTAAAAAAAAAAAATTTTATCAAAAAATTTTACATTTTGTTTAAAAAATTCAATTTATAAAAAATAAATGTTAATTTTATTCATTAATTTTTATACTAACAATGAATAAACTACTATCATCTCTAATTAACTTTCGCGTAAATGAAGAGTTAAAAAACAGCTATAATATTAGTGATAGGTAAGTATAATACAATATAATACAATACATAAAATAAATATAAATAATAGATTAATTAAAAGTATATTAATTAGTTTTTTCTCTTTTTAACTATTTATTATAGATTATTATATATAGTTTGGAATAATATATTTTTAAGAAATGAAATTCATAAACATATTTTAAAGTTTATTGAACATAGTGTTGTAGAATTAAATGAATCAAGTTATGACCAGTTTAAAGATAAATCATATATAACATCACTTGAATGGCGTGGTGATACACTACCAGATAAAAATGAATTTCCACCATTTTTGACAAATTTATATTTGTACAGTTTTAATAAAATGTTAACTCCAACAACTTTACCAAATACAATTACAACACTCTCATTAGGTCTTTATTTTAAACAAGTAGTTCAACCCGGCACATTACCAAATAGTCTCACAACACTCACATTCGGTCATTATTTTAACCAAGTAATTCTACCCGGCACATTACCAAATAGTCTCACAACACTCATATTCAGTTATTGTTTTAACCAAGTAATTCTACGTGGTACATTACCAAATAGTCTCACAACACTCACATTCGGTGATGAATTTGACCAAGTAGTTCTACGTGGTACATTACCAAATAGTCTCACAACACTCTCATTCGGTCATTATTTTAACCAAGTAGTTCCACCGGGCACATTACCAAATAGTCTCACAACACTCACATTCGGTAATGAGTTTAACAAAGTAGTTCAACCCGGCACATTACCAAATAGTCTTACAACACTCACATTCGGTCGTAATTTTAACCAAGTAATTCTACCCGGCACATTACCAAATAGTCTCACAACACTCACATTCGGTAATGATTTTAACCAAGTAATTCTACCCGGCACATTACCAAATAGTCTCACAACACTCATATTCGGTTATTGTTTTAACCAAGTAGTTCCACCTGGCACATTACCAAATAGTCTCACAACACTCACATTCGGTCGTAATTTTAACCAAGTAGTTCTACCCGGCACATTACCAAATAGTCTCACAACACTCACATTCGGTGATAAATTTGACCAAGTGGTCAAACCCTGCACATTACCAAATAGTCCCAAAACACTCACATTCGATAATGAGTTTAACAAAGTAGTTCAACCCGGCACATTACCAAATAGTCTCACAACACTCACATTCGGTCGTTATTTTAACCAAGTAGTTCTACCCGGCACATTACCAAATAGTCTCACAACACTCAAATTCGGTACTTGTTTTGACCAAATAGTTCTACCCGGCACATTACCAAATAGTCTCACAACACTCACATTCGGTGGTTACTTTAGCCAAGTAGTTTCACCGGGCACATTACCAAATAGTCTCACAACACTCAAAATCGGTTATTATTTTAACCAAGTAGTTCTACCTGGCACATTACCAAATAGTCTTACAACACTCACATTCGGTGGTGGCTTTAACCAAGTAGTTCCACCCGGCACATTACCAAATAGTCTCACTACACTCACATTCGGTCGTTATTTTAACCAAGTAGTTCCACCTGGCACATTACCAAATAGTCTTACAACACTCACATTTGGTTATTATTTTAACCAAGTAATTCTACCCGGCACATTACCAAATAGTCTCACAACACTCACATTCGGTTTTGAATTTAACCAAGTAGTTCTACGTGGCACATTACCAAATAGTCTAACAACACTCACATTTGGTTATTATTTTAACCAAGTAATTCTACCCGGCACATTACCAAATAGTCTCACAACACTCACATTCGGTTTTAAATTTAATCAAGTAGTTCTACCTGGCACATTACCAAATAGTCTTACAGCACTCACATTCGGTGAGTGTTTTGACCAAGTAGGTGATATTCCATCCTCAGTTCAAAAATTGGAATTTGGTGCCCATTTCAACCAGCCTCTTAGTGAAGGATTCATACCATCATCAGTAGAGACATTAGTTTTTGGTCGTTATTTCAAACAAACACTTAAGCCAGGGGATATACCATCCTCAGTTAAGACATTAACATTTAGCAATACATTCAAAAAACCACTTACCTAAGGTATTCCACAATCAGTTGAAATTTAAAATATTTAAATATAAAAATAGTACTTTTTAAATTTCATAAAATATAAAATAAAGATTTAAAATTTGCAGCCACACCACTTTTTTATTATAATTTTTAATATTTATTTTTTTTAATTTTTGGTCTCTAGTATTTTTACAATAAAACTATATATAATTTATATATCCTCTACATGCTTTATATATTGAATCCATTCGGGTAGTGAGTGATTAATATAATGATTCTATGATTGATGTTTCAATTGAAGTGGAAGTCAAATGCTTTATCTTTTATTTTTAATATTATTTTGAAATAAATATAATAATGATGGAGATATATGAAAAACTGCAAAACGATCGTATTTAAAATAGGAGCTATTGTAGCTTAATTCTTTAATTTCTTCAATAAATTCTAATAGATTTGTAAGATAGTTGCTATCGTTCAAAAATTCCCACACCTGAATACTAATCGATTCCTTCTCTGTAAAAATTAATTGTGTGAAAAATTCTTTTGTCATTTTGAATGGACATAATGGAAATAAAGAGCCAACTAATTTGAATAACACTAAATTACTTGTTAATAATGCGGCCTGATAAAGATTTTGGATCTCTTCATTTGTTTGATATATCTCTTCTTTTTTCATTATATTTTCTAAATAATATTCTATTAATGGATGGAAACTAGGAAGAATAAATTTCGACTGTATTTCTTTATCCATTTCCTTTTTTTCAACAATTGAATAATTTGACCATAAAAAATCAAAAATATCTAACCTTTGTTTTGAAATTTCTAGAGCCATACTATAGTTGGTATCTAAAAAAAATTTTAAAAGTGGTGTGTATAACTGAGTGAACCATTCCATTGAGATTGAACAATTAAAAACTGAAAGAAAACCTAGATTCTTCATCTCACCACTACAGATTTCATCACTCTTGCACTCTTGAAGGAATGATAGCAAACTGTTGTAACGGCAGTTTAATAATAAATTAACACAATGATCTTGATTATTAGTTAAGTTTATTGGTTCGTAGTATTCTCCGTATATTATTTCACTTTCTAAATCCTCACTTTCCTCTTTATCTAAAATATCGTTGATATCTAATTTGAGTGTAATTGAATCGAATCTATATTTACTTAAAATATACGGGGTTAAGATAGATTGTGGAATCGAATCTAAAACTGAATAGATTTCTTTATTGAAAAACATTTGAGTAAAAATTTCATCCAGTGTGCATTCTAGGTCGAATAAATTTAAATTATTATTTGAAAATAAAAACTTCAATAATTCTAAACTGCTATTAAATGGTTGTTGTTCAATTGGAAGTATTATTTCGTTTTGTCCTGTTAATGAAAATATTTCATTTATTCTATCTAAACTTAATTCTTTAATTGCCTTTATTAAGTGGTGTATAAAAAGATTTGCTCTATTTGCATAATATGGATTGTTTTCTTTAAAAGAAACATTGTGTATTGGGACTGTTCTGATTTTTATATATTTTTTTCGTAATTTTTCAAATTTTAAATACTGAATATTTTTGAATCTTTCTTTAAAATCACTGAAGTCGATATTATTTGGTAGTGACTCAAACCTGTCGATGAAATAAACTATTTCCTCTGGTTCTAATCCTGATGGAGTTTCATATTGGAATTCTTCTGATTTAAATTCTTGAAGTTTATCTAAATAAAAATATATTTTTTCATAATTCAATTCCTTTGTTGATTTATTTTTTTTAAAATGACATCTATTGATTTTACTTTGATCTCCGAGGTAAGCTTTTCTAAAAACTTCATTTTCTTCAAATAATGATTGAATTGATTCTAAACTAAATTCGGTAATATATTTTTTGATTATCTTTATGGTAATGAAAAAAGGGAAAAACGATCGTTTAACCAAGTTTTTATGAAAATATTCAAGATATAACCTTCCTTTTTTTTCGTCACTCTCTTTTTTTGAAAATTTATAGGTGAAAATACAACTGTTTGACTTTAAAATTTTTTTTGGGGATTCTTTATAAAAATTTAAAGCCTCGGTTGAAAATTGAACTATGGAGTAAGATACAATAAAATTGTAGATATTAACTTCCAAACCATTTGAGACTGAAGGACTTTCAAGCTCCAACATTGAATCAATTGCCTCTCTAATTTCCAAATATCTTTCATGTTGAATAAGATGGTAAATATAATACACTCCTAGTACACCAGTTAACCCATACCGGTGAATACCTTGAGAGTTTAGAACATCAGTAAGACCTTCTATAAGAAATTCGAGATTGTCGATATTTGGATTGTCCTGAAAAAATTGTAAAATATTTTTAAAATAACTTTTTTTTCTTGAAAAATACAATGCATATATTTTCGCACCAACTATACTATCCATATGGAGCTTTAAACGATTTGGTAAGATTATTTGATAATCATTAACAAGAAATTCATACACTAACTCGGGCACTTTTAAAGTTAAAAAGGGATGAAATTCGAAAGAGTTTGATTTGTTTTTAAAAACCAAAGACTTTAGATCCATTTTTAATTCGTTTGTTAAAAATTTGAATTTTTTTTCTGAAACTGAGCCTTCTATTGCAGAATAAAAATAATGACTGAAGTCTTCTGGGTTATAACTCATTAGTTTTAATCTTTTTACCTTTTCATTATTACTATTACTGTTACTATTATTATTATTATTATTATTATTATTATTATTATTATTATTATTATTATTATTATTATTATTATTATTATTATTATTATTATTATTGTTTGTTATTTGTTGGAATATGATTTTTGATTGCTTTAAAAAATTTTTCTCTAATGAAAAACTTAAAAAATCGTAAAGTTGATAATTATTTTGAATTGTATCTAGATTATAGTATTTAATTAAAAATTTTAATAAATCTTCTGACTCCATTTCCATTTTAAGTGAATCTATTATATTTCTATATTTATTTAGGAATGGTACGAATATTTCCTCTATAAGATTCTTTTTAAATAAATAAACCCATAAATATAAAATATCCATTGAATGTTCGATATAAATTGGGTGATTTGACTTTAATTTATCGTGAATCATTTTATATTGGTCATTTTTTATCATTGTTACTAATAGAGTTGTGCCCCAATAACTATTTCCTGATTTATTTCTTTTCAAAAATTCAAATATCTTTTTTTTAATATAAATATTGCCCCATACTTTAAAAAAAAGGCGATCTCTATAGTTATTCATATTATTATTTTTAATACTATTTATTATTACTATTACTATTAATTGTTATTGCCCTTTTATTTTATTTTTTTTTTTTAAAAAAAAAGTTAAAGAAAAATGAAATGTCAAAAATAAAAATAAAAATAAAAATAAATATTAAAAAAGAAAAAAGAAAAAAAAAAATGAAAAATAAAAAATTAATAAAAAAAAAAAAATTTCAAGAAATATTTAAAAAAAGAAGTACAAGGTACTATTTTCATATTTATTTATACATCTTACTCATAGTAACTGACTTCTGGTTTGTTCACCATAAATATATGAAAGCCAATATTTGTTAATATCGCAATTGGATATTAAAAAAATTTTATTTTTTATTTTTTAATATATTTTAATTTAGTGGTTTTGGTGGTAATTGTTGTTGACCTTTACAAGTTACGGCCGATACACCATTGACTGTACATTCACATGGGTTTTGATTAACTAAAAACATTTCTTCACGTACATTCATAATTTTCGTTATAACATTAATATTTAAACCGTCTAAATTTCTAATTTCGGCTAGATTGGCCCTGATGTCAATTGAAAGACCATTAAAAATGTGAGCTGGGAATGCTAAAAATAAAAATGTTGCCAATTGAATTGGATAGTCATGGCATATCTCTTTATTTGAACCATGATGATTATGTTGATGTGTTACTCTCCAATCAATTCTACCACTATCTATCATTTCTTTTAATACTTGATAACTTTTTGAATTGTTTGTAATTTCTTCAAAAAATAGATCCCATTTATTTATATATCTATTTTCACTATTTACATTATTGTTATTGTTTTTGGTATTGCTATCTATTATATTTTGATCATTATTATTATTATTATTTTGACTATTATATATTAAATCGTGATCCTTATCACCTTTCATTAAATTCTTGTGTAATTCGTGGGAATATGCGCATAAAACATATGGAGTTTCCGTTGGTAAATGTTTGAATAATATTTCTATTACATCTTTGAAATCTGAAGGTTGATGTGATTCTAAGAGAGAGGGGAATGAATTTAAAAACTTGTCAGCAACACTTGACCATGAAAGAGTATTTTTAATTCTACAAAATGATGGCTCATAGAGATGGTTTTTTGAGAGAACGTAATAGCCTCTAGGCTTATTAGTTTCTTTGTCTAATACTTTCATTGATTCCCATAAAGTTTCAACGGGTACCCAATGAGGAGCATATTTGAATCTTGCGACATCTAATACCAATGCTAAATCTTTTTCTTTATGATAACCTCCAATAGGACTATAATGACCTGACCCTGTTTGACCCAGTGTTTTTCTTGAATAAGACATTACTAAATGAATACCTTGTTTACTTGATGCCTCTATAATACTACTTCTAAATTGATGGATATCATTTTCGTCACCTCTATATGATTTGATATTTGCTCCATTACATTTAGATAAGCACGAAAACTCTGTGAATGTTATACCTCTTTTTTTAACGGAATCGATAGGTATACAACAATCCAACATATCTTCTGCAAACCATCTCCATGGTCCTTTCCACAATCTATTGGGATCAATTTTTAATGCATTTAATACCATTGCTAAAGTTGCTAATCCACAAACTATAAAATAAAAAAAAAATTATTAATATATATATTAATAATAAAAATAATAATACCTATATATATAATATATATAATATAATTATTTGTATGTGGTAATACATTACATGCTGGATCGGATTGTGATACAAATTGTTCTGCTAATGAAAAATAACCTTCCATATGACCATTTGCTAATGCTTCTCTAAATAGTTTTTTGCCTTCATCTGATGAAAACTCAATTAAATGTGATGGTAAATTCCTTTTATAAAAACTAACAACTGGTTTGGGTCTTTCGATATCAGCAACTTGTATTGGTGATGGTGATTCTGGTTTTTTATTTAATAATGCAGTATTGCATGTTTTACATTCTGATGCATGAGTGTGAGATTTTGATAGTGTAGGTGAAGGTGAAGGCTCTACTGGTGAAATTGTTGTGTTTGGGGATGTTGTTGTTTTTAAAGCTGGTGCAGCTGACGTTGAAAAATATTTCTTTTTATTATTACTACTTTTATTAGTTGGAATTAATGGTGAACTACAATAACATATTGTATTAATATTACACTTTTTTATTTTTCCTATAACCTGTTTTGATATTTGATTATACATTCTAAAAGTTTAAATTTATTGTTATTGTTATTATTAATTATTATTTTATATGATATGGGTGTTGTGTGTGGTTTTTTATTTTGTTTTATAAAAAAATAAATTATTTGATTTCTATATTTCTATTTTAAAGTGTTTTTATTTTTATATAGGTTTAATCATATAGTTTCTAAATATATATAAAAAAAATATTATTAAAACAATAATAATATCTAGTAACAATAATAAAAAAGAAAATAATAAAAAAAAAAAAAATTTAATTTTTAAAATTAAAAAAATAATAAAAAAAAAAAAAAAAAAAAAAAAAAAAAAACCAAAAAAAATTAATTTTTTTAAATTATTTTTTAAAGATATTATTTTTTACTTTTCGTTTAAATAATTAATATTTTATGATAAAATTTAAATTAATTAATTATTTTTCTCCAAAGAATTATACATCAATTCTTTCCTATAATGAAAAGATCTTGATTTAAAATTTTTTTTTATTTGTTTTTTTTTTTTTTTTTCTTTTTTTTTTTTAACCACACTTGACTGAACATACACATTCGTCATCTGATTTGGTCAAAAATAATTCCTCTCTTGATTTTAAAATTTCCTCTTTGACAATTCTATTCAAATTATTTAAATTTCTAATTTCATTGATTTCGTTTATAATTTGATTATTTGATAGTGAACTGAAAATTATATTTGGAAATGATAAAAATAAAAAGGTTGCAATTTGATTTTGATAACTGTTGCATAGTTTAGGATCTTCATCTTTACAATCATCTTGATTCCCAAAAATATCTGTACCATGTGACATCTTCCAATGAATTCTTCCACTTTCTATCATTTCTTTTAAAATTGGATAAGTTTTAGAATTTTTTGAAACCTCTTCAAAAAACCAATGCCATGTAGGATATCCTGTATTATTATCAGAATCACTTATATTACAAATATTATTATTATTATTATTATTATTATTATTATTATTATTATTATTATTATTATTATTATTATTATTATTATTATTAAATTTCTTTTGTAACTCGTGTGAATATGAACATAAAATATAAGGAGTTTCGGTTGGTAAGTGTTTGAATAATATTTCTATTACATCTTTATAATCTTTTATATTGTTATTTTGTTCTTGTTGTTGTATAGTATTGGTAATATTCTTTAAGTATGAGTCAATTACATCTGGCCATTTTAAAGTAATTTTAATTTGATAGAAAGATGGTGAAAAGGATTGATTTTTCGAAATTAAATAATAGCCTCTTGGTTTATTGGTATCTTGATCTACTAACTTCATTGATTCCCATAATACAGTAACTGGTACCCAATGAGGAGCATATTTGAATCTTGCGACATCTAACACCAATGCCAAATCTTTTTCTTTATGATAACCTCCAATAGGACTATAATGACCTGACCCTGTTTGACCCAGTGTTTTTCTAGAATATGATAAAACTAAATGTTCAGGTGATTGTGGCGGTTTATTACTTGATACACTGATAATATCTTCTCTGAAATGCTCGATTTCAAATTCATTACCTCTATATGATTTAATATTTGCTCCATTACATTTAGCTAAACATGAAAACTCTGTGAATGTTATACCTCTTTTTCTTACAGTTTCAATAGGTATACAACAATCCAACATATCATCTACAAACCATCTCCATGGTCCTTTCCACAATCTATTAGGATCAATTTTTAATGCATTTAATACCATTGATAAAGTTGCTAATCCACAAACTATAAATAAAATAAAAATTATTAAAATTCAACATTTTATTTTCTAATAAGTACAAATAATATAACCTACATGCTGGGTCTGATTGTGATAAAAATTGTTCTGCTAATGAAAAATAATTTTCCATATTTCCATTTAACAATGCCTCTTTAAATATTAATTTCCCCTCTTCTGATGAAAATTCGATTAAATGTGATGGTAAATCTCTTTTATAAAAACTAACAACATTAATTTTTTCTGTAATGGTTGGTGTTTCATTCTTTTTACAACATTTACTTTTATTATTGGTATCATTACTAGTATTACTAGTATTACTATTATTACTAACTATATTATTTTCCATAATGAATAAATTCAATAAATAAATTAAAAAAAAAAAAAAAACTAATTAATCCCAAAATTTCAAAAAAAAAAAAAAATATTTAATTTAATTTAATTTTTTAAAAAAAATAAAAAAAATAAAATAAAAAAAAATAAAAAATTTATATTTATTATTCAAATGCATAGCAATAACACAAATACAATTTCAACCACTCATTAAAAAGGTAAATAATTATTTTAAGAAATATAAAACCCCAAAAAATATTAATGGAATACCCAAAAGAAAATTTTAAAAAAATAGCAAAATCACTTTACCAAGAAACTAATTATAGAAAAAAAAGAGAGTTATATAATAAAATAAATAATCGTTTAAAACTAGACAACAAAATAAAAAAAGAAATTACAAAAAATAAAAACAACCACAGTTTAATAATTAATAACCCACCTTTATTAGAAAAACTATTTTGGACAGTTTTTAGAAATAAACCAATATTCAATACAATATTTTCAAATTTTATTTTTAAAAAATCATGTAGTTATGATGATTTAATTGGTACTCAATATATCTTCAGTAAATTCACAAATGCAATTAATATAATAAAAGATAAAATCATTAGTAACAATTATGTATTTAGAAATGAACAACAAGACATAATTGAACTATTCAAAAATATTATAAAAAATAATCAGGATAATAGAGATTTTTATGATATACTATTTACAAGGTCAAATATTAATTTCACAAATTGGAAAAAATGGGTAAAGTTAATTATTGAAAGTGGTAATGTAATGGCACTAAAAATATATATATTTCATTTTAAAATTGGTCCTCAAGAAATTCAAAATACTTTTCCCTTGACATTCTACCACTTTAATGGATATTCAGGAATCAAGATGATGTACCATCTTAAAGAAAATTATGACCACTCTTTTAAACCATCCATCGAACCTCTGGTAAACTTTAGAGAAATTAATTATATGTGTAATGGTAATAATCATTATATGGGTTATGATCTTATAAACATTTTAAACCCACACTTAAAGTTGAAACAACTTATCAAGCTATATAAATATATAATTACTCTATATTATAATAATAATAATTGTTTAAATAATGGTACATTTAAATTTAATAATTTAATAATAGAAATAAACAAAATCACTTTGAACCACTTTACAAAAAACCAACTAAACTCCACCATTAGAGATTTAATAATACAACACAAAACTCAGCTTTCAAATCAACAAGATGTATACAATTTAATAGAGTTAATTCATAATTATTATAAAATAATATTTCATCTTAGCAAAAAATACCAAAATAAACTACATAAAACAAGAAAGCCAATCGAATACTACATTTATTTTAAAGGAATTGATAGAGCAAATGGCCTATTAACATCAGAGGAAGAAACGGAAAATTGCACACTACACAGGGTCCAAGATTTTTTTCAAGCTACCCTCTCAAATAAACAAGAGAAAATAGATTTCATCAATAAAACCCAATCCCTCAAAATCCTTGGACATTTAGCAAACCTAATACTCTCAAACAACGATATAGAACTTAAAAATAATTATGAAAAGAAATTAGAACCTTATTCAAGAGATATAATTTTTAAACAAAGAGCCCTAGAATCCATTTCAAATACCAAAACACTTGATTTTTTCTTCAAGAAGGATCTTTATTTTGAAGATGGGAATGAAAATTGGAAATATATCAAGAATAAAGAAATTTTAATATATTACGAAATGCTAATGAAACAATCCTCGAAAAAATTTAAAGTAATCGAATATGATTATGATTTAAACATTTATATGTTTATTTTATATAGGGCTTTATTAAACCCGTCTGTATATAGATTCGATAGTTGTAAAGAATTAAGGAACAATAGTTATTTATCAGACACCAATCCCTATTTATCAGCACTCAATATTATTATACAAAAAAAAGAAGATATTTTTCTGAATTATGATTTTTCTATATTTCAATATTTTCAAAAACCAACCCAACTTATTTATCAAATATCAATCAATATCTCAAAAGATCTATTTTATAATATTAGAAGATCAAACATATCAAAAAATTTCGACTTTATCTTCATTTTATATCTTTTTTATTGTGGTCGTATAAAAGAAGGCATTGAATATTTAGAGCAACTTTCAACTTATTGGGATATCGAATTATATTCTCAAGAGTATAATATGCTCTTCGAACTTCCATTTAAACCTTTAGAAAAACTAATTGTTTTTTTTATTAAAAAAGAAAAAGTCAATAACTTTAACCTTTTGATCAAAGTTGCAGCAATAAAAGGTTATTTGCAAATTTTTAAGAAGGTATTTTCAAAATATGGTATCTTTTTAAATAAAAACTCCTCTCAGTATAAAAAAGAAATAGAATTCTTCATCTCAATTGCCAGATCCTTCAATAATGATAATTTAGTAAAATTTTTAACAAATCATTTAAATAACAAAATTAAATAACTACATTCTTGGTAACAAAAAGTAAAATAATAAAATAAGATTTTTGTGTATATTTAAAAAATAAATTATATTCAATTTTATTAAGAAAACCCTCTTGATTTTTATAATATTTTAAAGGGGTATTTTTTATTATATTAAATTTTTTTATATTTTCAAACTTTTTGAAAAGGGTTATAAAATATCAAACAATTTCAAATAATAAATACATACAGATATTTTTTCAGAATCTACACAAATCCAAAAAAAAAACCAAAAAAAAAAAAATAATTAAAAAAATAAAAAAAATAAAAGATTTTTTATAAATTGCTTTAATATTCAGAGGTTTTTTTTTTTTTTTTTTTTTTTTTTTTAAATTTAAAAAAAAACTTATCAATTTAATAATATTTTATAAATGAATAATAAAATTATAATAAATTTATTAATTTTAATACTATGTATTTGTTCATTACCATACAGTAAATCATTAATTACCCCAACAACTAAGGTATTTAATTAAAATAAATTATAAATATTATTACCATAATAATAAATATCCTAATGGTTCATTTAAAATAGGCTAACGATGATTGGAGTGTACCCGAATGGGTTTCAGTTTCGTCAAACTCTGGTTTCTTTTCAGAAGAAGCAACAAGTAGTCTTAATATTAATGTACCGGTTTTTGATGTAGCTTGGAAACAAGTTAACCCATCAAAAGGAGTTTACCAATTTGACTCAACTGCTACTGTCAAAGGTATGAATTTTGCCTCATTCAACAATCAAAACTCAACCAAAAATGCTTTTTGGATGAGAATTTGGAATAGTGGTGTTGATTGGGCTCCATCTTGGATAAAATCATATTGTATGTATTACTGTTTTTATTTCGTTTACATATTTATAAAAAGGTTTTAAAAATTGTACTAATCCTTTTTTTTTTTAATTTTTTTTAAATAATAGGCGGTGTTGATGGTGTTGCAACTGATTATGATGGTGATAAACATTTACCAATTTGGAACTCGTGTGTTTGGGGTGAAATTAAAGCCATGTATAAAACCATATTCAAAGACAATAATATGAGAGCTGATAAAAGATTAAAGTTTATTTACGTTCCAGGTGCATTTAATTGGTGCGAATTTGATTTTACCGAAATTTCAGAATACAAAGGAACCAATATTTCATTTACATACAATGTAAGTAATTATAAAAAACTCTATCAATTACACTTTATTTATAAAATTTTTTAACAAATTCATAATTTTATTATTTTAGGTATTTAATACATGGTTCCAAACAGCAATGCAAGATCTAGTAGATATTTTTGGTGAATATAGCTATAAATTAGTATACACTGGCGAAGATTATCCATTTGATGTCGATGATTGGCCAGCTTCTAGAAATCTTTTAGCTAAAGACGCAGTATCCAAAGGCATGGGTATTAGAAATGGTATTACAGAGTTATTTAACTTTCATTTAAATCAAATCCCAGCCTATGGTATCACTATTGATACAGCAACTGGTTATTTAAACTTCGACAAATCATGGCCACTTCAAGCAAATCCAAATAGAGTTATTGGTACTGAAAATGAATGCTATAACAGCTGTGGTTTCAATGTACCAAATTCAAATAATTTATATTATGCCGTCAAAATGTCAAATTTAAAAGCACTTCAAATGGGTGTAAACTGGCTATATTTGGTCGCAACCGATAGCTATCTTTCTCAATATCCAGAGCTTTACAACTGGATAAGATATTCATTGGGTAAACAAGCAAGCACCTCATTTGATGCATGGGCCGTTTTAAGAAAAGCACAAGATAAGTTTTGGATCTATGATGACTCTTTAACCTGGCCAGATAAACCATTTATCAAAAATCTTGAAAGATTCCTCACCCAAAGAGATTTAAGTGGTGGTGCTCAAACCAAAGAAAGTCCAACAAAGAAAACTGGTATTTACAACAATGAAGGTGCTGATTTAGGAGATGCATATGAAGGTAGACAAACTAATTTAGCAACAGGTAATACTGCCATTTCCTTCTTTTTGGATGATGATTTTGCTTCTGGTAATTGCACAAATATTCAAATTAAAGTCACCTATTTAGATCTACAAGCTAGTCAATTTTTAATCAAGTATCAAGATGGTGCATCAGTATTAAATACTTCCTCGGTTACAGTTGGCACCACTCAGTCATATATTACCGCAACATTTAACTTCTCCTCAATTACTTTTTCAAACTCAGTCTCTGGTACAAGAAAAGCTGATTTTGAAATTATTAATTCAGGTTCAAAAGATATCGAAGTTTTATTTATTAGGGTTATAAAATTAAATCAAAATAGTAGCAGTAGTAACAACAACAATAACAATAACAATAGCAATGGCAATAGCAGTGGTAATAATAACAATAATAGCAATAGCGGTACCTCATCATCTGAATCAAAAGATCAACCAAATAATGGTTCAAGATTAACAATTTCTTTTAGCTTATTTTTAATTTTATTTATCACTTTTATTTTACACTAAACTTTAAATAAAAACTATTAAATTATTTTAATAATATGTACAATAAATAAAACAATTATAAATATAAATTTTTTAAATTATTCGTTTATTTAATAAAAATCTGATTTTAATATTTTAGTTGATGGTGGAAGATTTAACAATTTTTTATACCCTGAATTTATACCTAGAAGCTTTAAGGAAGCAGGTAAATTATCTTCCGAGAGTGTATGAGTAAAATAAAAACCAGAAACAAAGAACTTTTCAATTAAAGTGTTCTTTAAATTGATTGCCTGATTAAAACTATTACCCATTATTACGTTTTTTAAACTTGGTGGGAAAACATCATCAATAGGTTTATTAAACGAGTCACCAAAATGGAGTGATGTTAACGATTGCGGAAAGCCTTTTGGATGTAAAACTTGATTAAAGCTACTACCAAGATTAAGAGTGTGCACATTCTCTGGTATAATACCTTCCCCAATGGGGTTGTTGTAGAGATTCCCCATTGAAAGATTCTCCACGCTACTGGGAATTGAATTAACTTGTAGTTCTTGAGTAAATAAATAACCTAATTTTAAAGATTTAATACTGTTGGGTAATACAAAAGGATCTAAAGGTCTGTTGAATTTTGCTCCAAATGTTAATTCTTTAACCCCAAATGGTATATCGAATTCCTTAATATCTTGATTAAAATCATCACCAAATAATACTACTTCACATGATGGAGGAATACACCTATTAAGCTTTTGATTAAAATTTTCACCAAACTGTATTGATTTTAACGAACTGGGTAAAACAGACTCCTCGATTTCGGTATTATAACGCTTCCCAAGTGAAATATTGGTGACACTGGATGGAAATGAATTCTTTGTAAACGCTCTATTATAATTATCCCCAAATAATATCGAAACAACACTAGATGGAAATGAATCTTGGATTGGTTGGTTGTATTTATCCCCAAATTTAATAGAGGTTAGAGTGTTGGGAAAAATTTCTTTATGTAAAACCTGATTGAATTCGAGACCAAACTTTATAGATTGCAAATTTCGTGGTAAAACATTTGGCTCAAAAGGTTTGTTATAAAAAATTCCAAATTGAAGCGATGTAATTGAATCTGGTAAATCCAATGGTTTTATAACCTGATCAAAATGATTACCAAATATAAGAGTATGCACACCACATGGAATATCATTTGGTTTTAATGGGTGGTTATAAGATGCTGGTAGTTGTAATATTGTAACTGATTGTGGTATGATGTCTTTTTCTAACAAGTGATTGTAACTGCCTCCTAGTCTTAATGTTTTGACACCATTTGGAATTACATTGACCTCTAGTAGTTTATTAAAAGAGCCACCAATCGTAAGTTCTTCTACTGAGGCTGGGATTGAACCCACTGCTAAAACCTGGTTAAATTTGTGGGATAGATATAGAGTTTTAATTGACTGAGGTAAAATATTTGGTAGTAAAGGTTTATTTTCTCCATTTAATGATGGTAAAAGATGGAGATTTTCGCTATTTTCCCCATAAACTCTTTTGTATCCACTCATATATCTTAATGCAGAACCTTGTAGTAGATATAGAGATTCGACTGATGTGGGTATAGTATTGGCATCTTTTAGAAAATAACCTTCATTTAAATACAATTTGTTTACATAGTTTGGAATATCACCGGGCTTGAGTAGTTGAACTTCATTATCTAAAACTAAATCTGTTATATAGTCTCTATATTTAAACACTTTTAATTGTTTTATTGAATTTGTAAAAATTTTATAATGTTGATTAAAAAGTTTTAAATGTTCAAAAATTATATTTTTTATATATATGTTTCTGAAAACTTTAAAAAAATTTATTTCAAAACTATCCATTTTTATTATTATTTATTTATTAATAAAATATAAAAAAAAAAAACTAAAAAATTTTAAAGAAAAAAAAAATTATTTTTATTATTTTTAAAAAAAAAAAATTTTTAAAAAATAAAAATATCAAAATTTGGATATTATTATAATTTAAATTTATTTAAATTATTTTGATAATTAATTATTAATCTTCTTCCTCCTCCTCCTCCTCTTCTTCTTCTGATGAACTATCAGAGTTTAATGTTGTGGTTGTTGTGATGGTGGTTGTAGTTCTATTATTTTTTTTTGCTCCTCTTAAATAAGAGTATAAAAATTCATCCCATTCTTGTTGAGATATAAACCATGGACCAGTGAATACACATAGAACAGTAGTTTCACGAGAATAAGGTAAATTGTGAAGTAATTTTGGTGTAATTAAAAAGTATTGAGGTAAATCTGGTTTGCTGACTGTTTTAACTATTTGTTCGAATACCATTCTTTCATTCTTTGGATCCATACCTTGATTAATTTCATCGACAACTCTAAATGGACATTTTGTAAGATTTTGAAGTGATATCAAGAAAAGCATAGTACTAACTGAACGTTCGCCACCAGATTGTAACTGAGCATTTAAATTTTTAAGTGAGGTTTCATCACGGAATCTAACTTGAAGATTGATACAATATTTAGAGAAATCGTTTTCATCTTTTGGATCGTTGCCCAATATAACCTTACCTTCGCAACCAATTTCCGAGAAAAAGAGAGAGAAACGTTGATTGATCTGGTTAATATATTCTTGTATTGGTTCCAACCATTTCTTTTTCAATGTTATCAAACGAGTATTATTATTTGCAGCAGTTTGTTCATAGTTCGAAAGTCTTTCTTCAAGCTCTTCAATTTCTTTCTTTCTACCCTCGTACTCTTCTATGACCCTTGAGTTACTTGATACAATAAAGCTTGCCTTTGCATCGAGCACATTAATTTCATCATCGATTTCTCCCAATGAGGAACCTTTGAGTTTGGTAAATTGCGTCTTTAAATCAGGGGTATATGGAGCAATTTTCTGAGCCTCTTGATGTTTGAGTTGACATTCTCTATATGTATTTTTGAAATCCTTATTTAATTGTTGCATTCTTTCTTTGATTTGATTGACTCTAATAGTTTCTTTTTCGAGATGATCTTTTTCAGAATGGAGCTTTGCTTCAAATCTACTGCTAGATATAGTTGCATGATCTTTAGCGCCACAAGATTTGTTTAATTCGTCTGTAAAACCAATGGCCTTTTGGAGCAATTGAATCTTTTTTTGATAACCCAAATAAATTTTACTTTTAATTTTTTTTCCTTCTTCTTCTATATTCTCTTCATTCTTTAGATCTTCTAATGCATTTATTTGGACATTAATCCTATTAACAAGTTTACGACGTTTTTCTATATTTAAATTTAATGCTGCCCTTTCACCGAGGAGTTCTTTTGAAGCAACTTGAATTTCTTTTTCTTTTTGCTTTAACTCTGTGCCTTTAGATTTTAACTCCTCACGCTTGGCACTTATTTCTTTATAAGAATTCTCCAATTCTAATTTTAATGCTTTATTTATTCCAGTTAACCAATGTGCTTTTTTTATTTTAATAACCCTAGTGATTGATTTCTTATCACCATATCTTGAAAACGATGTAAGATAACTTGACTCTGGTGTTTGAAATGAAAGAATTGATTTTAAAAGTATATCTTCTTTGCCAATAGCATTCTTATTAAAAACCAATGTCTTAAAAATTGGGATAGAATCATTCACAGCGGCCTTAACAATTGGATTGGCTTCGTAAAGATTATCGAGGTAATCAACTGCACCATATTGACGATAATCCTCAATGTCATACGATCTATCAACTGGTGGTATATTGTTAATTAAAATTGAATTTAAACGAAGTTTACGATTTGAATCGGTTAATGATGAATGGAAAAGCTCTCTATCCTTTTGTGTTTGAAATATGAATGATGATAAAAGATTCCAACTGAGAGAAGTCTCTAAATAACTGGCATATTCTGGATTGACAACATTGATCTCCATTAAAACTGGTCCATAAACTGGCTTTTCAAACTTTGCTTTATTATTTTGAATCCAAGTGTATGCTTGAAAAACATCACCCTCTGATTTTAGCTTCTCTAACTTTTGACGATGCCCATCATTTAAATTTGCAATCTCCTTTTCGATTTTTTGACAATCCATTTGAACACGTTGATATTGTTGATGAAGTTGCTGAAGTTCAAGTTGAACCTCGTTTGTTTTTGTATTGTTTTCACGATTTTCTTTATTAATCTGCTCAATACGCGCTTTATCTTGATCTTCTGGTGGTAATTGATCCATCTCTGACTTTAATTGGGTTATTGATGTCTGGGTGGCCTCAATATCTCTATTCCTTTTTTGTTGACGTTCGTTTAAACCATCCAACTCTTTAACAAATGAATCAATTTGAACCTGTACTTTTTCTGCACCATCTGAACATACTCCAACTTCTCTATTTAACAAAAGAATTTTCCTATCAAGTTTTTCTGCCTCTTCTCTTGTTTTTTTTAATGATTCTTCTTGTGCTCTAAATTTATAAAAACAATAATAATATTATTAATATATTGATTATGATTTACACTAAAATTATCAAAACAATATTTACATAATTGAAGCTCTTAATGGTATTAATTCGTTACTAGCCTCTTTAAAATTTTTTTGTTCCCGTTCTTCTTCTTCTTTAAGGTTTTCTGCTTGTCTTTTTAAATTATCATAAATTGCCCAGGCCTTCTTTTTTTTATATGATTCAATTTCTTCTAAAATTTTCTCTCTTTCCCTAAATCTTTCAACATCTCTTTCTAATTGTTGATTTAAATCCTTTTTTTCTTCTAATTGTTGTCTTTGTGAATCAATATTCTAAAAAAAAAATGAAAATTAGAGAATATCCTATTTATATTTTAAATATTTAAACAACTTACTTGATTATCTTTACTTGAATCACTTCTTAATTTAATTAACTCTTGGTGATTTTCGTACATATTATCAACACCAATAGCTTTTTCTGTTTCTAATAATAACTCGGTTGGTGACATACTTGCAAAACCTACTACTTTATCTTGAGGTAAAAATTGACATAAATTTTCGACTTGAATATTTAACTCTTTAATTCTCGCTAGTAGATCTGCTTTTGTTATATTTTTTCCATTTAATTTGAAATCACCAGAATTACCTTCTTTCTTTAGATCTCTTTTAATTATAAAATTTTCACCATCTGGATTAAATAATTCAATTTCTACAAAACCTGACATAGTACCACGTTTAACAAAATCACCCAATTGCTTTTGTCTACCTAATAACTATAAAATAATAAAGTTTATTAATATAGGTAAAAAACCATTTTAATATTATAATATGGTATGTGATACATACATTTGGACTGCCACCTAAACCTAGAGCAATAGCACAAACAATAGAACTTTTACCAGATCCATTTGGACCGATTACAACATTTAATCTTGGGCCTGGTCTAAACTCGACATCAGAATATGTAACAAAATTATTTAATTTAATTCTAACAATACTTCCTTTAACATATCCCTCTTGGTTATCATCATTATTATCTGGTGTTGGTGTCGTTATATTTTGAGTTGGTTGATTTTCTGAACGCCCTTTCTTTCTTTGTAAATTAAAGTTTTTTCTGTTATCACCTTCATCTGAATCATCATCACTAATCTCATCTAGCTGATGCTTTTTAGGTATTTTTAAATTATTATTTAATCTACTCATATCTGTATTTATATATATATAAATATATATAAAAACTATTTGATTTGATTTAACTGATGATTATTATAACTACTATTATACATGTGTATATAAATAAATATACTATAAGAGAAATAAACTATGTGTTATTAATTATTTGTTTGGGAAATGTATGGTGTGAAAAAAATTAATTTTTTAAAAAAAATTAAATTATAAAAATTAAATTTAATTATTTTATTTATATTCTATTACTATTAAAATAAGTGTTATTACTATTCTTTTAACTATAATAATACAATAGAGTGATGTGAATAATGATAGTTATAATGTTAATTTAAAAAAAATGAAATTATTAGAAAAAAAAAATAAAAATAAAATTGAAAAAATAAAAATAAAAAAAAAAAATAAAAATTTTAAAATTCAAAAAAAAAACGAAATTTATAAATTTTCGCGCGTATAATTTTGGTTAAATTATTCCTTTATTGATTAAAGATAAAGATAACAGAGAATATTAAAATAATAAAAATAATTTTAAAAAAAAAGTAATAGAAGATATATTTTTGTTTTGTTTTTTTTTTTTATAGAAAAATAATTTAATTTTATTTAATTTTTTTAAATTCATATGAAAAAGCCCTATTCGCAAGTGGTGCACTCAAAATGGTAACTCCTAAATTTATTATAAAAAAAAAAAAAATTGGTTAGTGATTAATTAAAATAATAAACAAAATAAATGACAAATTAAACACAAATAAAAATAATAAAAAATAAATAAAAAATTGTATGATGTTGATCATTCTTATTTTGTAAACTTTTTTTAAAAAAAAAACGAAAATAAGAAGGCAAAAAAATTACTAATCGCCATGCAATATCACTTGAATTTAGCATCTCTCCAACGGAATCTCTTCACATAATGAATCATTATCGAGACCCTTTATAAAGATGCGGATAAATAAAAAAAAAAAAAAAAATAATAATAATACACACAAAAAAAAGTAATAGGTATATAAAAATCTTACAATTTGTTTTTGTTTGTAAAAAAAAAAAGAAAAATTTTTTTGAAAAAAAACTTAAAAACTATTTTTTTTTTTTGAAAATTTTTTTTGAAAATTTTTTTTTTTTTTTTATTTTTTTTTTTTTATTTTTTTTTTTTTATTTTTTTTTCGTCGTATCGTTATTGCATTTTTGGTTTTAATAATTTATTCACAAACATACAACAAAACAATTAAACTTCTAATTAAATTTTTTATTATACTTATTTATTTTTAAAATAAAATAATTACAGAAATATTTAAAAGTTATTTAAAAATATAATTTAAATATTGATAGATATCCGAGTTATATTTTTTATAATAAAAATGTCGTTTTTATCTTTATTTTAAAAATAATTATGCTACAATTTAAATAATATTTTTAAAATTAATTTTTTACTTTGTTTATATAGGGAAAATTATTATATAAAGATGAGGGTTACAATAGATAATATTGGGTAAAAAAGTATCATGTTTCAAAAATAGATTGGTTTAAATATAAAAAAAAAAAAAAAAATAATAATATAGATTAAATATTAATAGAACTTTAAAAACTATTAGAAAATGATTGATATGATATTATTAGTATATTACAAATTTATATGCAAAGAATGGTTATCATTTATTATTTTTAGAAGAATCATGTCGTAAATATACAGCATTTCAAGCAGGTTAAGATGTATCAATTAAATTTATAAGAGTTCCATTTGGTTTAGAGAAATCACTGCATATTTCAATATATGATGCAAGATATTATTGAAGAGTTTAGAGAATATATAAAAGCCTATGTAGACGATATTATTATTTATTCAATGACATTAGATGAACATATAATAAACATTACAAATAATATTTTTAAATAAAATATTTTTAATTTAATTTTATATATTTATATATTTATAGTTTTATATATTATTATATTTATAATTTTATTTTTTTATTTTTGACACCCAATAAATACACAGATAAATTTTGTTAAATGTTAATTATTGAAAAAAAAAAAAAAAAATTTAAATAATCTTTATTAATTTTTTTGAATTTTTAATTTGAATCTATTATTTAGATGTTCACCTACAGAACATATAGAAATAACTCTGTAACATAGTTGTTATCTGTTTTAATAAGAGTTTTTTTATAATAAAGTATAAAAATGTTTATGAATCTAAGTCTGATAATATATCTTTTCTTCCTGATTCACATAATAAAGCTTTGAAGCTTGGATGATTTGTTGTTGTTTATTAGATTGATATAAAAACAAACTGTTGGACTTTGGTACACATTCTAAATCACTGAGCTATACTTGTCTAAATTTATTTGATTTTGCTAATTTTATTGCTATTTCTGATTGAATGTGTGAATAAATAGATTACACCTAAAATCTAAGTACTGACAGTTATCAAAACTGTATACCGATTATTAATTGAATTATAAAGTATATCTAAAGCTGATACCCATTTTGATTTTGAAATAGATTGTAATTGAGATCAATTAAAAATATCTACAGAGTTTGGCCATCAGAATTTCATAATGAAAAAGAATTAAAACACTTGGCACCTGAAGCATTGGGAATTGTCATCTTTAAAAATGGAATTTGAAAAAGTAGTCTTATACTTTAGTTTTTGGAATGCCTTCAATATTACTAAATGATATATTTATTTGTCCTAGCCTACTACATCTATTGTACAACCCTTTTACTTGATTTTGATTCGATATTTAAATATACAAAATTATATTTTGAATTGCAATAGATTTCTAAAATCCTTTTTTAATGATTGCATATTACTGAAAAAATTTAGAGTTGTAAAAAAAATAATCCCGTATTCAGTTTTTAATGGAACCATACCAGAACAAAAATGGCTTAAGTGGTAAAATTTAAAGAACCCAATATTGATGTATCTATTATGATTTATGAAAGGCCAATTGAAGTCAATGATTTATTTGAGATTTAGGGTGGAAATAATAGTTTCTTGAATAGCTAAGTGTATATTGGCAAACCCAAACAATGATGGACCTCTACTTTGAGCATTACTTTTGAGCTTCATTGGCTACTGATTACTGAGAATGGCCGAAGACTGATTACTTTAGGTTTTTTTTAATTATTATTATCATTATTTTTGATTATTATATTTTACTGAAAAATTAAAAATGTGGTAAAGAGTAGATTAAAATTGGGTTATACTTCTGAAAAATGATATTAAATGTGATTATTTAATAAATAAAAGTTAAAAGGATGATTATTAATGATTAATATTAATCAATTTTAAAATAAAAATAAAATAGTAATATTTACATAGAAAAAACAGAACCCCAATGTTTGAATTGTAACTTTAAAATGTGTTCATACTGAAAAAGAACCCCAATTTTTCATGAATGATTTGAAAAAAAACACAATTGAAAATAATAAAACATACCCCCAATGTATGATTAATCATTTGAAATAAATTAAATGTTGAAACTGGACAAGAAAAAATTAAATTTAAGCTAAATAAGTATTAAAATAAATATTAGTTTCTTTTATATTCAAATCTAATAATTATGTAAATAATAACATTAAAGTTACCTTTAAAACACAAATACCCCAATGTTGGCATTAGATAAAGAACATGATTATAATGAAGGAGAAATATTATAATTAAACATATATGAGACCGAAAGAGAGAGATTTAATCTAAATATGAAATAAATATTAGTTTCTTTTAATTTTAATAATTTTGTAAATAATAACATTATAGTTACCTTAAAAATACCAATACCCCAATGTTGGCACTAGATAAAGAACTTGGTTATACTGAAAGAGAAAATATTATTATTAAATTATATATGAAACTTAAAGAGAGAGAATTAATCTAAATATGAAATAAATATTAGTTTCTTTTATATTTTAAAAATTATTTAAATATTATCATTGTACTTACTTTGATAAAACAAATACCCAAATATGGCAACGTGTTGAATGAGAAAGAATTAAATATTGAGCTTTTTGATGTATATGAGAAAGATTTAAACTAAAAAAGAATAAGATATTGGTAAATTTTATATTCAAATATAATTATTTAAATATTAACATTATAGTTACCTTAGGGAATGCACACATATTGACATTTAGTATAGATCATGATTATAATGAAAGAGAAAGTATTATATTTAAACTTTATAGGAATTAAAATTTAATATTAGTTTTTTTATATTCAAATTTAGTATTATTTATGTAAATATAAACATAATAGTTACCAAAAGAGAACTAGCAAATGAAACCTTTGGAACTTCTTTAACCTTTTTGAAGAGTTGAGGATAATGCAATGAATGGTAATATTTGTCAAATGAAGTTGTTTTCTGATATAATCTTGATTGATTTCGCTATTATTCCATATAGATAGAGTATTATTGATCGAGGTTAAAATCATCTAATTGGTGGCCAGCTAATTGATGACGATTAACCTAAAAATCTATATTTTCCCTATGGATTGGAATATTGTAATCGAAATGCTATTGGACATTCATTCTGTTTAAAGTGTTAATTATATTATTAATCAATGTTCATTGCATCATTTGTTAAATCCTCATTTTGATTATCTCTCTACAATTAAATAATAAATTAAATTAATAAATATGTTTTATTAATAAAGTTTAAATATGAATGTGAATTACTTACTCTAATACTTGAAATTGGGTGTCTGCAAGTTGGACAGGTTCTGGTACGAGAATACCATCTAGTAATGCATTCAAGGCAAAATTTATGAACACAATCAATTGATGCACTATTAATGGCTTCTACCTGATTTAAGCAAACTGTTCAGATGTTTTGGTCTTCGTCTTGTTCCATTTGTTGTGGTTGACTTTCTTGTTGCAATCTTATTTGTTGTAGTCTTTCTTGTTGCAATCTTAAGGCTTCAAATTGTTCTCCACGTACCCTTTGATTTTCTTCTTGTGTTTCTTGGGCACGTTCTCTTTCTAAATTTCTTCTATTTGCCCTTTGTTGAAGTAATACATCTAATCGTTCTCTTAATGAATTTAAGTAACGAATATATTCTCGGGCTTCTTCCAAATGTTGTTGTTGATCTCTGGCAACTCTTTGTGATCTATCTCTTTCTAATGCATCCCTACGTACCCTTTCTCTTAATAAAGTTTGGGCACGTTCCCTTTCTTGTTGCTCTCTTGCAACTCTTTCTCTTTCTCTTCTTTCAGTCTCTAATTGTTCTTGGCGTACCCTTTCTTGACGTTCGTTTTCAATTCTTAATAAGTATTGGGTACGTTCCCATTCTTGTTGCTCTCTTTCTAAAAGTTCTAAACGTTCTCTTTCTTGTCTTTCTCTGATTAGTCTTTCTGAACGTTCAGATTCTCTGATTTCTCTTGCAAAATCTAATACTTCTTTTCTGAGAGCTTTGCTGGCTTTCTCCCTTTCTGTCTGTTCATTATCCCTTCTTAGAATCTCTAAAACTAATGGATCCGACTCTAATGATTGTTTACTATTATTATTATTGATATTGTTTTTATTGTTATTGTTATTGCTATCATTAGAGGCAATGTTTGAAGGAATAAAGTTTGGGGTGGTTCTTTCTTGTGTTTCTTGTGTTGGTGTATCTTTGAAAAAACGAGATGGTAAATATCTTACACCATTTTTACCATTATTATTATTATTATTATTATTATTATTATTATAATTATTATCATTGTTATCATTGTTATCATAAATTATATTATTATTATCATTATAATAATTATTATCATTAAAATTATAATTTTTATAATGGTTATTATGATTATTTAAAGTAATATTATTATTATTATTATTATTATTATAAATATCATTATAATTATTTAAATTATTATTATTATTAAAATTATTATTATAATTAATATTATAATGATTATAATTATTATTATTATTATTATAAAAATTATTATTATTATTATTAAAATTATAATGATTATAATTATTATTATTATTATTAATATAGTTATAATTATTAATATTATTATTATTATCATTATTATAATTGTTATTATTAATATTATTATTATAACTACTATTATTATTATTATTATTATTATTTTTATTTTTATTAATTATATTTTTATATAAAATATAGAAACAAAAAATGATAATTAAAAAGATAAAAATTAAAATATATAGACTATCCATTTTTTTTTTATTGAGACAAAAAATAAATGTATAAAAATGTAAAGTTATTTATTTGTAAAGAAAAAAAAAAAAAAAGAAAAAAAAAATTATAGAATGAGGTTTTTTTAAAAAAAATTTTTTATTTTTTTTTCAAAAAAAAAATTAAACATATCCTTTTTATATGTCATTGTAATGTGGCATATGATGTTCATATATTATAATAATATTATTTAACCTCATTGTATGTATTTTTTTTTAATTTTTAATTACAATCATATAATAAATAGAAATTGAATAAAATATTATTACATAAAATTTACATATATTTATTTAAAAAAAAAATCATCACAAAAAACTTCATAATAATAGTAACCAATCATTATTACATAAAACTAACATATATTTATTTTAAAAAAAATCATCACAAAATAAACTTCATAATTATTAATTTCTTTTTCATTTTATTATATTTATTTTTTTTTTAATTTTAAAATTTTTTAATAAATTATATAATTTTATATTTATATTTATCACGTTTCACCATAATAATTATCAATTTTAATAAAAATAATATCCATTAAATATTTAATAATATAATTTACAATCATATCACCATTATAAATTAAAACTTTTATTTAAAAATCAATAATTTATTAAAAAACATTTTTTCCTCATTTATTTTTATCTTTATTTTTAATTTATTTTCTAATATGGTTTGCTCTAACCTCTCCACAATGTATAGTCGCATTTCAAATCCGGAAAAAGCAAATATTAAACAAACCGAAGCTGCCATCTCAATTTTTGTCCATTATGGTAATGCAATTAAAGATAACCAAGAAAATAGCAAAAAAGCAATTTCAAGGTATTATTGACAAGATTTTATAAAATTAAGACCACATGGATCAGTAGCAGGTCACAGTCAATTGCTTTCCAATACATACAGGTTTAATTGGTCCTTATATAACTCCATCAGTACCGATTTCAGTTCAGATTAAATAATTTTAATAAAATCCTATAAAAAAAATCATTTCTATTAAACACTTTTTAAACTAAAAAAAACAGGAAATATATATATATTTAAAAATAAAAAAATATTATTTATAAACACATCAGATAAATTAATTAAAAAAAATAAATACATATACAGAAATATAAAAAAAAAAAGAATTATATTTATAATATTTTTAAAAATTATTATTTTAATTGTACTCTAAAAAAGGTATAATAAAAATAAAAAAATTTATTTAATTAATATATATTATTTATTATTAACTATTTTACTGAATTTCCTTGATCGGTATTACATTGACCTAAATCTAATTGTTTTCTTTTACTATTGAATGATATTTTGCCAGATTGACTATATTAATGCTGCTTAACCAACGACGTTCAAACATTTTGGTTAATTGCTTCTATGCTTCCATTCACCAGATACGACGACAAATGTATAAAGTGGTAAAAACTTTCACCATGATTTGATGCAAATTCTAAGGCTTGAACTAAGAAATCAATCTCTTTAAATGACATTGTAAAGTTAACATTTAAATGCACCGTTCCTGGACTAATAACTTCTTGCTTTTCAAATATTGATTTACTTGTATATACATGTTTAAAGTAGCTAAAAAACCTAAAGATTCCTTCTTAAACCTATAAACTTCCCAATATCTTCCGAATATATAAAGAATATTTAAATAAGGTGAATACGAAATTGAAAATTCTATCATAATAATAATATTTTGGTTTCTCTCTTTTGAACTATGCTGTTGTTGTTGTTGAGTATTAATAGTATCTAATGTTTTGAGATGAGTTATAAAAACAAATCCGATTTTATGTTCTCGAAATATGGAGCTGCTTTGGTGATTGTTGAAAAAGTAATCTATTATTCCAGTTGATTGAATACTTTCTATATGATCATTTACATGAGCAGGGTAGGGCGCGCTAAGACCTTCAAACATTGAGGAATAATAAAAAATCTTTGAAATCGTAATTGCATAGTTTATAATCTTTATTCTTTCTTGAAGACTGTTCATAAATCAATCGGTTTGATGATGTGTACCTTTTGATTCAGCAACTCTTAAATGATATGCAGAGGGTAATGAAAAATTTTTGCAGTAACTAACATTATTAGTTTTAAAGTTCTTTGGAACAATAAGTTCTAAATTCAAACTGTTTTGAAGTTGCATTGTATGTTGAATCTTATATTCTTAATATATATTTGTTTCTCCATTTTATTATTCCTATTATTATTACTATTATTGTATGTTGTTATTTATATTATAGTTCATCCAATAAATGATGATAAATTTAATAAAAAAAAAAAAAACATAAAAAATTTAAAATTAATTTTTTTTATTTTAATTTTTTTTTTTTTCTAAAAATATTGCACCACCATAAACATTATTTTATTATAAACAACTAAATTTAAAATTTAAATTTATATAATAAAAATAAATAAAAAATTTAAAAAATAAATATTATTTATTATAATGTGCTTTATTTATACCTGTATATTATATTATAATTTAGATTTTTAAATTATAATAATTTTATTTTTTTTAATTTTTTCAATTTTTTTATTTTATTTTTTTCAATGCACAACAAACACACATAAATAATTATAATAATGCAAACTATAGCATATTTAATCAATAATAATAATAATTTTAACAGTACTGAAATATATTTAAAACCTTTCGAGAGCAAGTAGGTAAATTAATATATTATTTTAAAACAGCAACAACAACAACAAACCCACACACATATAGAAATTGCAACTCTTTCTCTTTCTCTTCTTTCTCTCTCTAATTGTTCTTGACGTACCCTTTCTTGACGTTCTCTTTCGATTCTTAATAAATATTGGGTACGTTCCCATTCTTGTTGCTCTCTTGCAACTCTTTCTCTTTCTATTCTCTCCCTTTCAATTCTTTCAGTCTCTAATTGTTGTTGACGTACCCTTTCTTGACGTTCTCTTTCATTTCTTAATAAGTATTGGGTACGTTCCCATTCTTGATGCTCTCTTAAGATTCTTTCTCTTTCTATAGCTTCTAAACGTTCTCTTTCTCTGATTAATCTTTCTGAACGTTCAGATTCTCTGATTTCTCTTTCAAAATCTAATACCTCTTTTCTGAGAGCTTTTCTTGCTTTTTCTCTTTCAGTTTGTTCTTTATCCCTTCTAAGAATCTCTAAAACTAATGGATCTGACTCTAATGATTGTTTACTATTATTATTATTGATATTGTTATTATTGTTATTATTATTGCTATATGATTGTTAACAATGATAACAATGATAATAATAATTATAATTATAATAATAATAGTAATAATAATAATAATGGTAAAAATGGTGTAAGATATTTACCATCCCTATAGCTTCGCTAGTTCTAAAAAAAGTGAAAAGTGCTCCTCCATGAATTTTGTAATATTGCATTCCATAATCCAAAACTCAAAGAATATAAATAATAAATAATATATTAATTTTTTATAAACTTTAAAATAAATATATTTTAATAATATATTTATTTATTTTAACTCAAAATCATATTTTTTATTTATTATCACAAAAAAACATTTTGCTTTTTTTTAAAAAATTTATTAAAAAATTTATAAGAAAAAATTTATAAGAAAATTTTTTTTTTCTTCAACTTTAAGGTTTGAAAAAAAAAATTTCTTCAATTTTAAGGGTTAAAAAAAAAAAATTTTATCAAAAAATTTTACATTTTGTTTAAAAAATTCAATTTATAAAAAATAAATGTTAATTTTATTCATTAATTTTTATACTAACAATGAATAAACTACTATCATCTCTAATTAACTTTCGCGTAAATGAAGAGTTAAAAAACAGCTATAATATTAGTGATAGGTAAGTATAATACAATATAATACAATACATAAAATAAATATAAATAATAGATTAATTAAAAGTATATTAATTAGTTTTTTCTCTTTTTAACCATTTATTATAGATTATTATATATAGTTTGGAATAATATATTTTTAAGAAATGAAATTCATAAACATATTTTAAAGTTTATTAAACATAGTGTTCAATTTCTTGATATATCAGGTTTTAGCAAGTTTAAAAATAAATCATATATAACAACACTTAACTGGCGTAGTGATCCACTACCAGATAAAGATGAATATCCACCATTTTTGACAATTTTATATTTGCACGGTTCTTCTGAAATGCTAACTCTAACAACTTTACCAAACACAATTACTACACTCGCATTCGATTATTCTTTTAACCAAGTAATTCCACCCGGTACATTACCAAATAGTCTCACAACACTCACATTCGGTCATCGTTTTAACCAAGTAATTCCACCCGGCACATTACCAAATAGTCTCACAACACTCACATTCGGTGAATATTTTAATCGAGCAATTCTACCCGGCACATTACCAAATAGTCTCACAACACTCACATTCGGTCATCGTTTTGACCAAGTAATTCCACCCGGCACATTACCAAATAGTCTCACAACACTCACATTCGGTCATGATTTTAACCAAGTAGTTCTACCCAACACATTACCAAATAGTCTCACAACACTCACATTCGGTCATTATTTTAACCAAGTAGTTTCACCCGGCACATTACCAAATAGTCTCACAGCACTCAAATTCTGTACTAATTTTAACCAAGTAATTCTACCCGGCACATTACCAAATAGACTCACAACACTCACATTCGATTTTAAATTTAACAAAGTAGTTTCACCCGGCACATTACCAAATAGTCTCACAACACTCACATTCGGTTATTATTTTAACCAAGTAGTTCTACCCAACACATTACCAAATAGTCTCACAACACTCACATTCGGTTTTAAATTTAACAAAGTAGTTTCACCCGGCACATTACCAAATAGTCTCACAACACTCACATTCGATTCTAAATTTAACCAAGTAGTTTCACCCGGCACATTACCAAATAGTCTCACAACACTCAAATTCGGTCGTAATTTTAACCAATTAGTTCTACCCGACACATTACCAAATAGTCTCACAACACTCAAATTCGGTACTAATTTTAACCAAGTAATTCTACCCGGCACATTACCAAATAGTCTCACAACACTCACATTCGGTCATTATTTTAACCAAGTAGTTCTACCCAACACATTACCAAATAGTCTCACAACACTCACATTCGATTTTAAATTTAACCAAGTAGTTTCACCCGGCACATTACCAAATAGTCTCACAACACTCACATTCGGTCATGATTTTAACCAAGTAGTTCTACCCGACACATTACCAAATAGTCTCACAACACTCAAATTCGGTACTAATTTTAACCAAGTAATTCTACCCGGCACATTACCAAATAGTCTCACAACACTCACATTCGGTCATGATTTTAACCAAGTAGTTCTACCCGGCACATTACCAAATAGACTCACAACACTCACATTCGGTCATCGTTTTGACCAAGTAATTCCATCCGGCATATTAACAAATAGTCTCACAAAACTCACGTTCGGTGTACTAAAAAAAAAAAAAAAATGAACTAAAACAATGAATTTGATTTCAATAAGTGACTATTCGACCCCAAAGCTATACAAAGCCGTTTTTTCTAATGATAAACTAAATTATAACCCCTAGTTATAACCAAGTAAAAAAAAAGTACTATATTAATAATACTACATTTTAATAATACTACAATAAATAAAATAAAATGACACTATTAATTTGATAAGATAGGAATGATTTTAAAACTGGTTTTAACCATTCAAAAAAAAAAGATTGTGAATTATATTATTAAATATTTAATGGATGATTTTTATTAAAATTGAATCAATCCATTAAATATTATAAATTAAAACTTTTATTTAAAAATGAATAATTTATTAAAAAACATTTTTTCCTCATTTATTTTTATCTTTATTTTTAATTTATTTTCTAATATGGTTTGCTCTATCCTCTCCACTATGTATAGTTGCATTTCAAATCCGGAACAAGCAAATATTAAACAAACCGAAGCTGCCATCACAATTTTTGTCCATTTTGGTAATGCAATTAAAGATAACCAAGAAAATAGCAAAAAAGCAATTTCAAGGTATTATTGACAAGATTTTTAAAAATTCTTTAGATCTTTTTATAAAATTAAGACCACAGGATCAGTA